AGTTTTCCTGGTGCAGCAGCCGCCATGCTGGGGCTCATGTTGCCTAAATTCTTGGGATCATGTCCCTTTCTACCTACGTAGTATTTCACATAGTGGAATCCATGTCGTGTTATTCTTCACTCGTCTGTTTTGGAGGTGTAGCCAAGCTCATGTTCCAGTGAGGTTCCAAAGCATCGTTTACCTCCTTTTGCAGTAGCAGAGACAAACCAGGCACTGCCGTGCAGTGACGTCAATAAAAATAAATCTTGGCTGCTGTTAAGTACATGGGAGATGTCACCTGTGTGCCATGTGCTGGAAGTACGGTCATTTCACTCGTTTCTGTCCTGTAACCAAGCCGCCAAACTCTGCACGTGCACCAGAGGGTGACAAGCTATCCACATGAGCATGGCTAAAGTTAGGATGTGGAGGTACACCAAAGTGATCCAGATCATTGCCCCACGTGTAACAAAAAGCATTGATTTCTTCCGCAAATGATGATGAAAGTTTGGCTTGTGCTACACTTGTGCACAACACCTGGATCACTTCCTTGCTTTGTGGCCTGTTGAAGTGCCTGGCTCCTGGCAGCAGGGCTGCTGGATGATGGCTGGGCAGGGAGAACAAGCTCTTGGTAGCTGGGAGGTGCTTGGAGACTGGGTACCAGCGCTCCCTGGTGCCCTGACTGAGAACGTGGGTATCAAATGAAGAGCCAGCACAATTTTTATTGCTTGCAATTGAGGCAGCTGATCCGTGTATAGCTGGTGGTTCTCTCTTCTCTGCATTCATTTCTGCTGCCAGTTGTGCAGGGATGGTGCAGCACTGAGGTGCAGTGTGTCTGTGTGCTAGCAAAGGGTTCTCACAAAGCACTGGTTCTGCTCTAAGATTTCCTGTTAATGACCCTGAGAAATGTCATAGAATTGTTTGAGATGGAAGGGACCTGTGCAGGCCATCTAGTCCAGCTCCCCTGCAGTGAACGGGGACACCTTCAGCTCCATCAGGTGCTTCGTGCCCGTGCAGCCTGACTTGGGTGCGCTGACAGGGCATCCACCAACTCGGGGCAGCCTGTGCCAGTGCCTCACTGCCCTTAACTGTAAAAAACTTCTTCCTTATATCCAATCTAAATCTGCCCTCTTAGTTTGAAACCACTTGTCCTATCACACAGACCCCACTAAAGAGTTCTTTCTGACAGCCCCCTTAGATACTGTCAGGCTGCTCTCTGGTCTCCCTGGCGCCTTCTCTCCAAGCTGAACAGCCCCTGCTCTCAGTCTGTCCTTGTAGGGAGGTGTTCCATCCTTAGGGTCATTTTTTCTGGCCCTTCTCTGGACACACTCCCAGCAGATCCATGTCACTCCTGTATTGAGGACTCCACATCTGGACACAGTACTTGAGGTGAGGTCTCACAGCACAGAGCAGAGGGGCAGGATCACCTCCCTCGCCTTGCTGGCCACACTGCATTTCACACAGCCCAGGATACAGATGGCTTTCTTGGCTGTGAGAGCACATTGCTGGCTGATGTTCAGCTGACCACTCCCCAGTACCCCCATATCCTTTTTGGCTGGGCTGAGCTTCATCCTTATACCCCCAGCTTGTACTGATAGTGGGGGTTGCCACAAGCCAGGTGCCAGGCCTTGCATTTGGCTTTGCTGAACCTCAAGAAGCTCTGGGCTTACTGCTGGAACCTGTCTATGTCTAAACCTGTCTATGTCTATGCATCCCATCCCTCAGGTGTGTCAGCCACACGCACAGCTTGGTGTCATCTGCAAACTGCTGAGGCTGCACTCGATGCCGCTGCTGATGTCATTGATGTGGATGTTAGAGCACCGATCCCACTACTGACCCCCAAGGGACATCTCTTGTCACTGGTCACCCTCTGGGCATTGAGCCTTTGACCACCACTCTCTGGGTACGATCTCTTAACCGCTTTGTCATCCATTGAACAGTCCACCTGTCAAATCCATCTTTCCAGTTTGGAGAGAAGGATGTTATGGGGGACCGTGTCAAAGTCCTTATTGAAGTCCAGATAGGTGACATCAGTGGCTCTTCCCTTGCCCACTGATTCGGTGCCATAATGAGAAGCAGTGATGTTGCTCTGGCAGAACCTGCCCTTGGTGAAGCCATGCTGGTTATCCCTATCACCTCCTCTACACTGTGCCTTAGCATAGCTTCCAGGAAGATCTGCTCCATGGTCTTCCGCGGCACAGAGGTGAGGCTGACAGGTCAGTAGTTCCCTGGGTCTTCCTTTCTACCCTACTTTAAAAATGGATGTGGTGATGCTTTTTTCCAGTCGCTGGGACGTCACCTGACTGCCACGACTTTTCAGATATCATCGAGAGACATTACCTGTCCTTGGAGTTCAGAGCCTTAAGCTTATTGTATAAGGGCACCTGGAGAGGCGAGGCAGGTAAGAAGAGGGTTTGCCTATGACACCGAGCAAAGACCTGTTTCCATCTGTCCCCATCTCTTAGGTTCCCTCCCTCTTCCCAGTGGTGACCTACTTGGGGTGTATCACCCCAGTGCCTTCTTTGGTGGTATGGCTGGGAGTCACTCCACCAGTCTGTCTTCTGCTCACACTCTTTGATGCTCCTAAATCTCTCCGCCTCCTCCTTGAGCTCTGCAGGAGGTATCTCAGCCACCCTCCAGTGGCAGCAGCAAACTCAGGCACTCCTTGCAGCCAGAAATCTGAGCAGCCACGTTTCTGGGCAGGCACTCGATCTGGGTCGCCACATTCTTTTTGGAGAGAGCTTTCTGCCTCACGGAAACCATAGCTAGATGTGTTCTCCAGGAGGCAGTCGCTAGGTAAGCCAGTTTCCCAAGTGGGGAGGGATGCTTTGTTCCCCAGCTCACCCTGCCTGCAGGAACTGCCATGCAAACTGACGTGCCAGACTCTGTTCACTCCTGGGAGCTCTTCGAGGGTCACTTTTGTAACTGGAGGCTCTGATGCTGCTGCTCCAGGCCCCATCCCCACCACATCTGAGCTGCTGACACGTGGAAGGTGATGGTGCCCCATAGCTCCTCACTGACAGGAATTCAGCTGCCCTACTGAGGTGATTCCTTGCTTTGGTGCAGAATGCGGCCACACCAGAGCTGTCTGCCTGCAGAGAAAGGCACCAAGTCTTGGGGCACAGTGTGAAGGATGAATACAGCTCCGTGCCACGCACCCTGTGCATGCAGCTCCTGGGACAGGTCCAAAGAGTGGATGGTTTGTTATTCCTTACACACACCATCCTGTCTATAAGAAGTGAGCCTTGCTATTTCCAGAGTGGAATCCGATACGAATAAAGACAGTGATTATCAGATCTGCCGGCTTCCATGCAGACAGTATTTTCCTGTCCATTCTGAAGGCAGGGCTGTATTGGTGTCAGGGTCCTGCGACAGAGCACTGTGCTGAAGCTGCACTGTACTGCTCCACCTGACCCAGCCTATGGCACAGCTCTCCGGAGCAGCTGAGGCCTTTCCTCTCAGCTCCCATTGCCTGACAAGGAGGGAGGGAACTGGCCCCGATGCACTGAGAGCCCACTGCCGGGTCAGTCTTCCAGCCATTCTGCCCCAAGCCTGTAGCGTTGCCTGGGGTTGTGGCCAAAGTGCAGGACCCAGCACTTGTTCTTAATGGACTTCATCCCATTGGCCCCAACCCAGCAATCCAGTCTGTCCAGGTCGCTCTGTGGGGCTTTCCTGCCCTCAGGCAGATCAGCAGTTCCGCCAACTTGGTGTCATCTGCCAACTTACTGAGGATGCACTCAATCCTCTCATCCAGATCAATTTATTTAGGTGCTACCTTCTGCTTTACCACACGCTCTCAGCAAATTGAAACAAAAAAAAAACTGACAAACGTTCTAAAACTTTCTTTCTCTTTGCAAACTTCTGGTTTAGTGTTAACAAACGAGCTCCTTGCTGCCTTCAGGAGCTGTATTAGCTCAGAATGCTCTGTGTTACCATTCAGGGTAAGTTGTGTCATGCTCCTTGTAAGCCCAGGTGAAAGAACTCTGAACTGCAGAAGGAGCTTCAAGTCTTCAACACAGCCCTTCCTTGGGCCGTGGTACTGCAATGGATGGAGGCCGAAGGCAGCTCTCACACAGCAGCGTGCTTTGAGTGATAACAGAATAGGAGCCCGACTGCTGTGTCGTGAAATCTTGTTCACAAACGGTTTAAATGCATCGATGGACGTTCTGCATGAGGCTGCACGCTTGCCGTGACACCTGAGCAACTGTGACCAGCATCACTTTCAGAAGGCTTCTGCGTAGTGCCCAACCGTGCTGGCTGCTTCCAGGGAGAAGAGAAGCCCGCTGTAGGCAGGCGCTGGGAAGCAGGCAGCGGCTGTGGGTGCAGGAAGGAGGGATGGCTGAGCGGGAGCACTGAGCTGTGTGCTTTCCTCTGCGAGTGCCAAGCAGTGCCGGAGCTCCCGCCGCCCCGCCTGCCTGCAGAGGGCTGCCGAGCACAACCGGGCCTCTACTGAAACGCTTCCCAAATGCTGGGGCGTTCCGTTGTGCGTAACCCAGATGCAGCAAATGACGGCCGCAGCCCGGCTCGGGGCCGGTAACAGGCCTGCTCCCACAGCACGAGACAAAGCGGAGCTGAGCTACGAGGCCTCTCCGTGAGGCTCCATGGGCTGGCACGGTGTGCTCCTGGGCTCTGCGTTCACTTACTCTGTATGTAAGTATCCTGGAGGTTCAGTTTGCTGTGAGGTGTGTGAGGAGCCAGAAGGCCTAGCTGGCACGATGCCTCCTGGGCTCCGAACGTCAGGACCACGTTCAATGCAAACACTGCTCTCACCAAACCGCTCGCTCCTGTCGCTTAGCAAAACGTGGCAGCCATCCTGCTGCTTTACACCCCGCTCCTGCTGCCCTTCCCGGGCTCCCGCTGGCCGTGGCTGGGGGTTCATGCTGGGCAGCGAGGAGGAATCCCTGCTCGCTTCCCGCTGCGGCACAGCAGTACTGGGAAGCAGGGCAGGAGAGGACGGACTGTGAGGCACTTCCGAAACGATTGGAGTTTTATCCTCCAAGAAATGCATCTGAGACTTTAAAATCTTATAAGAGAAACTGGTAAGTTTTTATTGGCCTCTGGTAGGATGGGCGTTTGGGTTTCATGTACCCTGTCAGACTCTGGTGACCTGTGCTGAAGACAGTGTTGTCGTCAGAATGATGCTGATGTCCAATAAAGTTGCTCCGTCATGTCAAGGTTCTGTGTAACATGAGATTGTGCGCTGAAATGAGGCAAAAGAAGAGCGTTTAAGTGGGAAAGCACAGGTATGGAGTGATAAATGCAATCTGTGTTAACTGTTACGAAGTCCATTCTTTAACTAAATCTTTAAGCTAATTTGCTATATGAAAGAGCCTTTTAACCCAGCCCTCTTTTACAACTTCAATTCTTCCTCCCTTACTTTGGTTCAGAAGCCAAGATAGCACAGTACAGCGTTCTGTGAGATCTAAGCAATCAATGTTTTAAGATGTGGTGTCAGATGGGGAACTCTGGAAGAGAGGTATGCAGTCACCACAAGCTCCTCTCTTGCTGAAGCCCAGTGATCCCTGTTGTTTCAAGGTTGCTTTCATGGACAGCTTCTTTGTGAACATTTATTTAAAGAGCAGATATGGTCGAAGGGAAAAAAAAAACAAAAACCAAAAAACTTGATTTACTTCTCTGCACTAGCATGGAAATAACTCTGGGGACAATGTGTCTATAGCTACAGAGCACCATAAGTAAAATAAGCTTATGTAGCACTTGCTGTAGAGGAAATAGATAGGACAAACGCTTCAAAATGATAAGAACATCTGGAAAGCTGAAGAAATGGCAGCCCAGACCACCACTGCAAGAGCATGTGCCTCTATGAAAATCAGTGAATGCGTTTAAACCTCTCCTGCAAAGCTGAGAGCTTCTTAACAGGTGTGGCAGTGAGGAGAGGACAATAAAGCTCACAGCCCATGCAGCAGTTGTTTGGGCCTCATCTCCTCATCCTGCATTATCATAGACTCATAGGATCATTACGGTTGGAAAAGGTGTCTATGATCATCCAGTCCAACCACCCACCTACCAGCAGCTCACTAGCTCACTAACCACATCCCTCAGTGCCACATCTCCATGTTTCTCGAGCACCTCTGGGTGACACAGCCTGTTCCAGCACCCAGGTGACACAGCCCGTTCCAGCACCCAGCCACTCTCTCAGCGTTTTTCCTAATATCCAACCTTAACCTCCCCTGGTGCGATGTGAACCCAAGTTACGCCCTTGACTTCTGCTTTTCGGGTTGAAACACTGAGCAATTAAAATCTCAATAGTTCAATTCAGGCTGAAATGGGGTCTGTTTTTTTCGCAGGTATATACTTTTGCCGCTCAGTACTGAGGAAAACAGACACTTTGTGTATCTCAAGATGTCGTTCAAAACAACTGAGTCATGATGTAGGCCTATAATCTCAGTCCTATGTTACCACACCTTGAGCTATGCCAGAAATTCAGTTTCACTGGTAAACACTCGTGGTGGGCCCAGGAATGCCATTCCCTGCACTAGTTCACACGTAGCTCTGCATGAGCACTGCCTGAAAGTCACTTCTGTGGCACAGGAATCCAAGGGGCAAGGCGAGCAGTTTTGACTGTCTCTCTTCAGTCAGCCTAGATAGGTTCTGCCTGTATCAACAGTGGCTTTTTCTCTCTTAGAGCCCAGCGAACCATGCAGCCAAACTTTGGGAAGCCTTCTCTTATTCTTCTGACATTGCTTTATCTGATTTTTTTCCCCCTCCCTCCATCTCTGCTCTGTCTCTTGACAGTGCAAAACCTGAAGTTATTTGGGCCCTTGAATTTCCTTTGTCCACTACAGGGTGATTTTGGATTTGGCAGACTGCTGAAAAAACACCAAGAAACACCCGTTTTTTCTCTTTTTGCTCTAAGACAGATAGATATTATCCTCCCTCTGAAAATGAGATGGATTCAAGACACCAAATCAGTCATAACTAGCACTTGCACATCAGCTGTGACACTTTGTGACTACATTACATGGCGTTCTCATACTTGGAAGGCACAAGTGTCAGCAGCTGTTGAAGGTGCTCAGGACGTGTGTCCCAGCAGAACACCCTGAAGCATGCCTTCCAAAACCACCCAGAGGGAGGTCTTAGCAAAGGGAGGGAGAGAAGTTCTGCGTTCTCAATCTCAGCTCAAACTCAAGGGTTCCTCTTTTGCCTTCACCACCACCGCTCACTCATCTAAGAGGAGGAAGCACCGTGGAGGTGGGCTTTTGCAGCTGACAGGAGTAGTGGTGCAGGCGACTCTCGGCACGTACCCCACAGCCCATGGCTCTGGGCTGGTGCTCGCTAGGTGCAGGGCTTTTACCTGCAGCTCCGGGGTAGGAGCCCAGCGTGCGACAGCGATGGGGCTGGCCCTGATGGAAGTGGTGGGTGCCTTCCAAACCTACAATATAACTCCAACAAACAAATGACTTTTATTTTTTTTTTAATAGTAACCAACACGCACTCAGGTTGTGTTCCGAGGCCCTCCACCCCTCCGGGTCGCACTCCCGCTCTCAGCACAGCGCGGTACCCGCAGCCGCGGATTGCTGCGCCTGCCGCGCAGTTCGCGCGCTGCCGGGGCACACAGACGCACACAAACACACTCACATACGCGGAGCAGCGGCTCGCTCAGCGCACCCTGCGCTCCGTGCCCCGTCCCGCGGCGCTCCCCGCCCCGCCCCGCCGCGCCCAGGCCACTTTCTTTCCCGAGTCCCCGCGGTAGCGAGGCGCAAAACCGCGCGGCCCCCCCGGGCGCGGAGCCCCGCGGCGCGCAGCCCGACTCACCGCGGCTTCCTCCCGGCCGCGCGCTGCCGCCTCGCCTCGCTTCGCCTCCCCCTCCTCCGCCGCCCGCCCCAGCCCCAGCCCCGGCAGAGGAAATATTGCAATGTTGCAAGCTGACGTAAGGACATTACAAGGAAAGGGCTACATTTCGGAGTGTTTATGAAAAGCCTCGGTACTGTACTGTCACCAGGGGGCATGCAATATAATGCATTTCGCCAAACATTTTGAATAATAATCATTTAACAACAACAACAACAAAAAAGCCCCGGTCCGGTCGGCGCTCGCGGAGCCGGAGGAACCATGCAGCCAAACTTTGCGAAGCCCTTTCTTATTTTTCTGACATTGCTCGCTCGCCCTTGAGGAGCCGTAATTGCATTATCTGATTTTTTTTTTTTTCCCCTTCTTTTCTCCCCCCTTCCCCCCCTCCCCGCTCCGTCTCTCGACATCGCAAATTCGCTCGCGTTTCGGAAGGAGCAGCCGCCAAAGCTACCGAGCGGCAGGAGCCGCCGCCAGCCCCGCTCGCCTCTCCGCGAGTCCGGTGTTGTTTTGAAGGGAGCTAACATGGCGACGGTGCCCGTCTATTGCATCTGTAGGCTGCCCTACGACGTAACCCGCTTCATGATTGAATGCGATGCCTGCAAGGACTGGTTTCACGGCAGGTAACACAAAGAGATCGGGCCTTTTCCCCCCTTTCGCCGCGGTCCCCCCCCCTCTCGCTCGGTGCCTTTCGCCTCCTTTTCTCTCCAGGGCAGAGCGCGGCGATGGTGCCGTTGGAGCCACCGCCGTGTGCAGTTTTCCAACAGGCCTTTTTGGAGAGGAGGAGGAGGAGCCACTCTGCCCCCGTCTCTCTCTCTCTCTCCGCGTTGTATTTTTTTGTTTTGTTTTGTAAATTTTCCTTCGATTCCCCGCACAAAGCCCCCCCCCCCCCATCCCCCTTCCTCCCCGGGGCCCCGGTGTCATCGGGCCGGGGGGGGCATTGTGCTTCTTTCCTCGGGGCGGGCGCCGCGGGGTGCGCGGAGCGGAGCGCGGACCGTGCCGCCGGCCGCCTCAGCCCGGCTACGGGGCCGCTCCGCCGGCCGGGAGCGGTCGGGTCGGGCCGCGTCCCGCATCTCCCGCCTCGTCCTCTCGGTTACGGACCCAGGGCGGCGGGCTGAGGGCTCGGGCGGCGTGGATCCGCGTCCCGGGGAGGCGGCGGGGCTCGGCCGCGCTGTCAGCGGGTTCCACGCCCGCGGCTCCGGGCCGGGCGCGCCTCGCCTCGCCCGCGCGGGGATCTCGGTCCCCGCACCCCCCCCCCCCCCCCACACACACACAAACCCCGCCGCCGCGCTCCACGGCCCTGTTGGGGCAGCCGGGTGTTTCCCGTCTGACAGGGCTGCCATCGCCGGGCCGGCCCTGCGGCTTAACCCTTGGCGGGGCGACTGGGCGGGGCGCGGAACGGGCGGAGGGGGAAGCGCGGGGCCGCGGCGGCTCCGCAGGGCGAGGGGAAGCCCCTCCGTGCCGGGAGCCGCGGGGGCGGGCGGGGCGGGAGAGCGCCGGCCCTGAGGCGGGGCGGCGGCGGCGGCGGCGGCCGTGCGGGGAAGCCCCGGCAGCAGCGAGCCCGCCCCGCGCGGTACGGCCCCCGCCTCACGGGGAGGGAAGGAGGGAAGGAAGGAAGGAAGGAGGGGCTCCCCGCGGCTCCCGGCGCTGCCCCCCGCCCCGCCGCCGCCGGGGGAGACCAAGGGGGGACGCGGGAGAGTTTGTTTAGGGCGGACAAAGGCGGACTTCGGCCCTCGATTCATTTCGCCCTGAAGCTTTGTCATGGAAAGCGAGCGCGGGCGGCTGCCGTGCGGGAGACAATGGCAGAGCGGGCGTACTTGAGTTAATGCTGTGTGGAACTGAACTTCGGGAGCGTTGGAGCGTTTGGGGTTGTTGGGGTTTTTTTCCTTCTTTTTTTTTTTTTTTTTTTTTTTTCTTTCCTTCCACCTCTGCGAGAGACGGGGAAGTTGGTTAAGGACGCGGGGAAGGAGCGCCAAGCGTGGCTGTGCGATGTGTGCTGGAAGCGATGCTGGCTGTACCCGAGCAGGACAGCGCCGCGACTGCATCTCCCGCGTGTCCGAGGGGAGGTGCCGGGCTCTGTGTCAGGGGAGCTGACCGACGGAGGGGACACAGGGCCTTTGCTCAGCCCCAAAGTAGCGCCCCAGAGGTGGGTTTCATAGTGAGCAAAACTGAGGAGACCGCACTCCGAGGGAACCTCAGATAACCGTGTTGGAGAAAGGAGGTGGCTGATGGAGTAAGGAACCACCTGTATCTGTCCCTGTTTGATTTGCTCGATGTTGTATGAGACAATAAATCATCAGCTGTGAAAAATATACACCGGGATTTGGTCGTGGAGAGTTGTCCTGTCTCGTTCCTAGGTGCTCAAAGCACTGTTGGTATTAATGCCTGTATAGTTGCTGCACTGCAACAAAAGTGACCGAGCATGCAAAGCTCTGCACTCTTAAAGAGGCTTGCCCATTTAGAAATGATTTCTTTCTCTTTTCAACATACACAGAGCACATTTCAGGAAAAAAAATGCCATTCCTGTTTCGGTTCTGTAGAAGCAGATCAGGGGTTTTCATGCTTCCTCCCTGACCGTAGCTTCCAGATATTTCAGTACATGTTTTTCCAGGTTCTGTTCACGTGTCAGGTGTGGTCCCCTAATGCTGGGTAACGTCTTTGTGGCACTTCAACGAATCTGACGGTAAACTCGTATTACTAAAATATTAAAAGTAAGTTAAACTTGTTCAGTGCCATTTATAAGCTGGAAGGAGAGCTGAGCCATCACCACATGACTGATGAGCGCTTCCCAGCCCGATGCTGATGTGCCATCGACTGTGGTTGGAAGCGACCGCTCTGCGATGTGTCCTGAAGGAGGGCTGGGAGGGATGAGCCGGGCTCTCGGGGCCTTCAGGTCTCACTCATCACAGGAACTTCTGTGATCTGCAGACAGGATTTCTCATGTGAAGCAGCATTAGAACTTTCTTGATAGATCCCCACTTAATCCTCACATGCTTCCGAGCGGTTGCCCACTGCTGTATCTGAACTTTTGTGCGGCAGGAGAAAGTGCTACATCGGAGGCTTCCCTCCTTTTTCTGGTCACTGCTCTGGAGCTAGGCCTGCATGCAGCAGAGTCACTGCAATAGCATATTGGGTTGAATTGATGTACGTGTCAGGTAGGTTTTTTCTGCTGGACAAAGGCGTCCGTATTGGTTTTGTGCACGGGGTGTTGCTGATCTCTAAGAAGAAAGGTCATCATTGGCTCTGTTCCTTTCTCTGCAAAGCTTTCAGAGGCCCTTTGTTACAGCTCCATATGTTACCCATCATCAGGGCCCCCAGCCGCTGTTTATGAGGCGTACTGAACTGTGCAGCCACCGGCGTGTTCGCAGAGCACTGCTTTGTGCCTTCTTATTAAACCGACTTTCAGTCATCTCTGTGCTTCCAGCCCTGGAGAGGACAGGGACGGTCTTAGAGACAAAGGGAAAAGAAATGCCTCTGCAGACAGTGGAGCGGGGCTGTTGGACACCACTGTTTGTAAGGACAGAACCTTTGCCACAGAGATTCGTAGAGCTGGGATGCTTTGAGATCCTGACTCTCGTGCTCCTCAGGAGTTGTGCTGGTGCTGCTGTTGCCTTTCCTCCGCTGCACCTAAGCTGGCAGGACAGTTCTGTAGCACAGCACTCCCAGGTTTCCCTGTTGCAGTTACCATGCTGGATTCCTCAACTTTCATGAGACTGAAAAGTGGGAACCCAAGGAAGGCGCCACCAAGGTCACATGGAAATCCTACAGCCTGTATGTACACAATGGCCTCTGGTAGCTGTGGTCACTGAATTGACATGGCAGAATCATTTGTCAGAGCATGCCTTGTGAGCAGCACCACCTTGTCTGCTTCTGGATGGTGGTGGTGGTTAGCATCTATGAAGCTGCATAGGGTTTAGGAGCTGCCCCTTTCAGAGATACCCTCTTTTCCTGTGCATCATTGCTGCAGCTGGGAGCAGCTGTGCTAGTTTTGCTGACAGTCTGTGGATGCAAAATCTTAACAGGTGGATGTAGTTATACTTAATAGCAGGCTTCCAACTACTCAGGTCACCTGTGACTGGAGTTTGCAGAACTCAAGGCAAGGTGAGTCCTTTTGCTCAAGTTTGTTCCACTAGAAATCTGTTCTGGGTTATTCTTTCGCGTAGGTGGAAGGAGGTGAACCATTTATTTCTCTGCAATGGTTGTTTTGTTACCAGTACTTATAATATCTGTATCTGCTCTTTTTGATGTAGGAGGATCATACAATATTTAAATAAAATGACCCAGAGAAGATTCAGGTTGGATGTTAGGCAAAATTTCTTCTCCAAAGAGTGGTCAGGCTCTGGAAAGGGCTGCCCAGGGAGGTGGAGGAGTTAAAGGAACGTTCAGATGTTGTGCCGAGAGGCGTGCTTTAGTTGGGGAAATAGTGGTGGTAGGTGGAGAGTTGGACTGGATGATCTTGAAGGCTTTTTCCAACCTTAATAGTTCTATGACTTTATTTTCATATTTATTTTCCTGTATTTAAACTTGCAAACTTATTGCCACTGTTATAGCTGCAGCGATATCTTAGTGCTATTATAAAATGTTTAGCTAACTAGAAGTTGCTATTCCAATTCCTATAGCAACATAGGGTTAGGATGATTTTTAGCTGTAGAATCTTGATGCACGAAATGAACTCCATCTGGATTAAGAAATACACTTGCTATTACATTGCAAAACTGAAAACTGCGTATGGGGAAGATGCAGCTCTTCTACTGGGACATTCAGCCTTGTCTTTTTCTTAAAATAGGTCTGTCTTTGCCTGGCAGTGTCTG